TGCAACATGTACCTGAAGTTCCGAACTTTCATTTGAACGAAAATGAAAACCCGTAATATCACGTTTAATCCTATTTAAAATGATTTTACCAACTAAATTCTAACTTCTGTAAATGAAAACAGTACTTCCCCATCATCGGAAGCAACCCCCCCATATTAACCACCCTTAACCCTTTCGCCACTAAAGGACATATATGTCCCACGGCATTTTAGGTTTCAAAAATACGGTAGAAGTTTCTTTTTTGAATATACGTTTTTTTGTATAACTATAATACTTTTATAGGCCCTCAGAACAAGTTTATTCAATATTATCTTTTTAGCATGCCACATTTAAAATTTTAATAATAATTTTTTTTAATAAATTTTGAGGTTAACTAACACTGGTGTTAATAAAGTGGACTGATGTGTACGCGAATATATACCTAGTACTAGCAGCACGGTCGGGACAGTTTGAATAGGGATTTATAATGCATTGGTATGCTTGCAGTGTTTTTTAAAATTTCCTTGGGACATATATAATCCAATAGTATTTTTAAAGCAGAAAAAATTATATTGTAGCCGTAGCGAAAGGGTTAAAACTTACATTACATGTATTTTAGAAAATTATCCCCGTACCACCCTATATTTGAAATAGGTTGTTAACATTACTTTTATACTGATTTTTTAGAAACATTCGGACCTTTTGTCACTATCGGAAGACACCCTGTCAACAACCCTTAAAACTGTCATTACTTATATCTCCAACCAAGCTTAAAAAGCCACGTTAAATTTGATTTAAAAAGTTTACGTTTCATTTATATCAATTTACAAAAACTATTGCTGCCCTTTTTTGCCACCGGAAACTACCCTATCACTATGAACTACCCTTGGAAAGGTCAAGTATTCTATTCCAAATATCAAGTCTACTATCACATTTAAATCTGTCTTAAAATTTTTACTGCCCTTCATTGCCATCAGAACCCACCTCATCAACTACCCTTAAACAGGTAATATCTTATATCCCCTGTATAAGGCTGAAAGCCATAATAAATTTTAAGTAAATTGTTAAAATTATATTTGTATTGACTTATGACGACTATTAATATCCCTTTGTTACCACCAGAATCCACCCCATCAACAACACTTAAATCAGTTGTTTATTATTTCCCCATTATCAAGCTTAAAACCATAATAGATTTTAAGTAAATTGTTAAAGTTATATTTATATTGACTTATAACAACTATTAATACCCTTAGTTGCCACCGGAATCCACCCCATCAACAACACTTAAATCAGATGTGGATTATTTCCCCAGTATCAAGCTTAAAGCTATAATGGATTTTAAGTAAATTGTTAAGATTATATTTATGTTGGATTATAACAACTATTGACACACTTTGTTGCCACCGGAATTCACCCCGTCAACAACCCTTAATTCAGTTGTGGATTATTTCCCTGGTATCAAGCTTAAAGCCATAATGGATTTTAAGTAAATTGTTAAAATTATATTTATGTTTGATTATATCAACTATTAATGCCCTTTGTTACCACCAGAATCCACCCCGTCAACAACCCTTAAATCGGTTGAGGATTATTTCCCCGGTATCAAGCTTAAAGCCATAATGGATTTTAAGTAAATTGTTAAAATTATATTTATATTGACTTATAACAACTATTGATATACTTTGTTGCCACCCGAATCCACCCCGTCAACAACCTTTAAATCAGTTGTTTATTATCTCTCCGATATCAAGCTTAAAGCCATAATGGATTTTAAGTATATTGTTAAAATTATATATATATTGACTTATGACAACTGTTAATACCCTTTGTTGCCACCGGCATCCACCCCATCAACAACCCTTAGATCAGTTGTTTATTATTTCCCCATTATCAAGCTTAAAGCCATAATAGATTTTAAGTAAATTGTTAAAATTATATTTATACTGACTTATAACAACTATTATTACACTTTGTTTCCCCCGGAATTCACCCCGTCAACAACCCTTAAATCAGTTGTTTATTATTTCCCCGGATTCATGTTTAAAGCCATAACGGATTTTAAGTAAATTGTTAAAATTATATTTATTTTGACTTATAACAACTATTGATACACTTTGTTGCCACCGGAATGCACCTCATCAACAACCCTTAAATCAGTTGTTTATTATTTCCCCGGTATCAAGCTTAAAGCTATAATGGATTTTAAGTAAATTGTTAAGATTATATTTATGTTGGATTATAACAACTATTGATACACTTTGTTGCCACCTGAATCCACCCCGTCAACAACCCTTAAATCAGTTGTGGATTATTTCCTCGGTATCAAGCTTAAAGCCATAATGGATTTTAAGTAAATTGTTAAAATTATGTTTATGTTTGATTATAACAACTATTGATACACTTTGTTGCCACCGGAATCCACCTCGTCAACTACCCTTATATCAGTTGTTTATTTATTATTATCTCTCCGATATCAAGCTTAAAGCCTTAACAGATTTTAAGTAAATTGTTAAAATTATATTTATATTGACTTATAACAACTACTGATACACTTTGTTGCCACCGGAATCTACCCCATCAACTACCCTTAAATCAGTTGTTTATTATCTCTCCAATATCAAACTTAAAGATTGTTAAGTAAATTGTTAAAATTATATTTATATTGACTTATAACAACTATTGATACCCTTTGTTACCACTGGAATCCACCCCATCAACAACCCTTAAATCAGTTGTTTATTATTTCCCCGTTATCAAGCTTAAAGCCATAATAGATTTTAAGTAAATTGTTAAAATTATATTTATATTGACTTAT